ATGATGAATTTTAAGCACAAAGCTTGTTTGTTCTTGGATTTGAGTCGGTGTCTGTGTAATTAGGGCACTGAATTGAATATTGGCCTTGAAATGATTTTGTTTGTGAAATTTAAGAAGAATTGTTGAGCACGAAGCTCTTATTTGCACATAAATTTACAGATTTGGAAAATTTAGGGTAGGAAGCTTGTCTTATCTATATACGAAGATCAGTTTCTTTATGAGAAATTTGGGGATTCTTTATAGCACGAAGCTCTCATTTGGTTTGATATACAATGCACGAAGCGTGTAGATTGATTCTTTCTGTATTCACAAATGGAGTCTTTTTCTCTCAAAATTGAAGGCTTATTGAGAATGCTCACGATCCGATTACAAGATGACAATTTTGCAAAGTGGTCATTTCAGTTTTGATATGTCCTGGAAAGATATGATTTGTTTGATTTCTTTGATGGAACTAATGTTTGTCCACCAAAGTATGTGATTTCTCTGGAAGATGGTGTAACCAAGGAGATTACAAATGCTTATCGAGAGTGGGTTAAAACAGATAAAGCCTTGTTAAGTTTGTTGATTGTTGTTCTGGGTGATGAAGCCATTGAGTATGTGGTTGGTTGCAAGACCGCTTATGAAGCTTGGACCAGTCTTACTGATAGATATGCAATAGTGTCTTAAGCGAGAATCAATCATCTCAAGACTGAAGTTCACACTATTAAGAAGGGTGCTGACACTATTGAGAAATACTTGCTACGTCTTAAAAGTTTAAAAGATCAGTAATTTGCCGTAGGGAAAACTGTTTCAGACAATGATCTAATTGTAGCTGCTTTGGCTAAGTTGCCATTTGAGTACAACATGATCAAAATTGTGATTATGGCCCGATAGTCTTCCATTACACTTAAAGAGTTCCGTGCACATCTCTTGAGTGCTGAGAAAATAGCAAAAGAAGTTCAGAGTGGTCCTCAATTCCCTATGACTGGCATGTATTCACATGGAGAATCTTCCAATGCTGCAGCTCAACGAGGACAGGGATTTAATGGTGGATATGGAGGTGAACAGTATTATTTAGGAGAGTTTTCAAATGCTGCAGTGCATCATGGACAAGGGAATAAGGGTCGTCAGTTTTATCTAGAAGAATCTTCCTATGTTGTTGCTCAACGAGGACAGGGGTTTCATGATGGAGGTTTTGGCTTTGTTAGTCAAAATCAGAGGGAAAAAGGTAGTGGTCCTACTGGTGGGGGCTTTAATCAAGCTAATATACCACCACAGTTTCATTCCAATCGAAACAATGGTAATGGTCAGAGGTATAATTCACGACCACGATTCAATGGAGGAAACGGGTTTAATTCTGGCTATAATAACAGAGGAAATGGCTATGGTAATTCTGGTGGGAGTTTTTAGAATAAGGGAGGTTCAAGTTGGAAAAATTGGAATGGTAATAATGGTCAGAAGTCTACAATTATTCCTGAATGTCAAAATTTGCAACAAACGTGGTTGTACAGCTCCGAATTGTTACTATCGAAATGAACAGCCACCTGTGATACATGGTACTATATCTGAATGCCAAATTTGTGGAAAGCGGGGGCATACTGCTCTCACTTGCTTCCATCGCAGTAACTATGCATATCAAGGTATTAATCCACCCTCAACCTTGACTGCCATGACTACTCAGTCTTATTCCAATTTCAATCCTAATCAAGCGTGGGACATCGGCGCCAATCATCATATGACTGGAGATCTTAATGATCTGGACATGATTGCACCATTTGAAGGCGATCAAAATATCACGGTTGTCAATGGAGAATGTCTTCCAGTGAAGAGTACTGGTTCCCATTCTTTACATACTCAGTCTAAAACATTATATCTTGCTACTGTCTTACATGTTCCTTCCTTAGCAGCTAGTTTATTATCTGTGTATACATTGTGCAAGGATAATAACTGCTATGTGATTTTAGATGAATATGGTTTTTGGTTGCAGGACAAGGCAACAAAGACAATATTAATGAGAGGAAGGAGTAGTGGAGGTCTGTATTACCATTTCAACGGATAAGTAGTGATGTATGGGGACCATTTCCACAGTCTTCAGTTGGCAGATTTGATCACCATAACCATCATGCAATCTTAGTGCATAGTGGTGTGAATTCAATGGTTCAGAATACATCCTCAGTGCATGCTAGTCCAGTGTCATCTGATATTATTTAGGATGTAAACTCATCTTCTCATATACAGACTTCCTCTCTCAATACCACTCCACACTCCTCTCCTCAAACTACATCTTTGTTGCCTATCCACCAATCTGCACCATTGAAGGTATCTCTTAATCTCACAAATACTAATGCACTGCCTTCTGATTCTGTACATACTGAAAATTCTGATTCTTCAAATGTTCATCCTATGACTACTAGACTTAAATTTGGGGCTATTCATAGAAGAGATTATAGTGCATATGCAACAACAACTAGTCCTAAATCTTCTAGTTCATCTCCTTATCTTGATGATACTATATGTCTTGGTTTCACTGCTGTCCTAGATATATCTGAGCCTATTGAACTTGTATCTTATAAACATGCTATTGTGCATTCTCATTGGAGAGATGCCATGTCAGAAGAATTTTCTGCACTTCAAAAACAAGGGACTTGGGATCTTGTTCCTTTGCCTTCTAATAAGAACATTATTGGTAGCAAGTGGATTTATAAGGTCAAGAGGGATCAAAATGGTGCAGTGTCTAGATACAAGGCTCACCTTGTGGCTCAGGGTTTTAGTCAAGAACATGGCCTGGACTATGATGAAACTTTCATCCCAGTTGTTAGGCACAGTACTGTACCAATTGTATTGGCCCTTGCATCTTCTAACAAATGGTCTTTAAGGCAGTTAGATGTCAAGAACGCCTTTCTTCATGGGGATTTGCAGGAGGAAGTGTTTATGAAACAACCACGAGGGTTCCAGGATCCTCAATATCCTGACTATGTTTGTAAGCTCAGAAAGTCGCTCTATGGGTTGAAACAGGCGCCTCAAGATTGGAATTCCAAGTTTACAACTTATTTGCATACATTGGGGGTTCAATGTTTCAGATTTAGATCCCAGTTTGTTTGTTAAAACTTAAGAAAGTGCAGTGGTTATTCTTCTCTTGTATGTTGATGATATAATCATCATAGGTTCTGATGTAGTTCTTGTTTAACAAGTTATTGATGAATTAAGCATGGTATTTGATATGAAAGACATGGGTCTACTCACTTTCTTCTTGGGTTTACAAATCTCTTATCAAGACAATGGTGACTCGTTTGTGTCTCAATTAAATTATGCTAAAGAGCTCATAAAAAAGGCTGGTATGGTCTCTTGTAAACCTTGTCCAACTCCTTGCAAGCCACACACTCAAGTACTTAAAGATGAGGGCATAGAACTTTTTGATCCCACTGAATTTCGAAGTTTGGTAAGAGCATTACAGTATCTTACATTCACCCGGCCTGACATAGCTTATGTTGTGAATTATGCTTGTCAATTCATGTCCCATCCTACTAATGTTCACCTTCAGTTGGTAAAGTGGATCATTCGATATCTTCAAGGTACTATGGCATATGGCCTTACATACTCATCTGCACATACTTTGGATTTGTTAGCATTCAATGATGCCGATTAGGCATCCGATATCAACACAAGGCGATCAACTATTGCGTATGTGGTGTTTTTAGGACATAATTTAGTATCATGGCAGTCAAAGAAGCAAGGAAGTGTCTCGAGAAGTTCAACAGAGGCGGAGTATAAAGCTTTCGCCAATGTTGTTGCAGATGTTGCATGGATAAGATTAATTTTGAAAGATTTACAGGTCTTTCTGCCCTCATCTCCGGTCTTGCATTGTGACTATATTTCAGCGTTGGCTTTGTGTTCGAATCCAGTGTTTCATACTAGGATTAAACATTTGGATACAGACTTTCATTTTGTTCGTGAAAGAGTGAAAAAAGGAGACTTACAAGTTGATTATATCTCCACTAATGATCAGGTTGCTGATATTTTGACAAAGGGTCTTCATGGTCCCTTATTTGTTCAACATTGTATCAATCTCAAATTGGGAATTCCCAGTTGAGATTGAGGGGGGGGGTAATAAGTCATGCTTTGTTGTGTAAGCTGATCTTGGAGTGCCAAGTGTCACAATCCTAGAAGGGGAGTTGGTTAGATGATTAGCATAGTCATTAAGCTAACTAATATGTATAAATAGGCGAGTGAATAGGATTGTAAATACTTTTGAGACTGAATGAAATAACTCTTCTTCCTCTCTCTCTATTTCTCTCTATAAGTTTTCTTACTCACAAAGCATCAATGGCGATACTTTCTTTGGTCTGTTATGAAATCTCTGGCCTCTGTCATTTACCTCACAAAACGCATATGAATAGATTTCCCAAAAAGATGGACGAATTTTCATTGTAGAAGTCATAGATTCTGCCAAAAAAAACATGTTTGGAGAATATTTTTTGAGAAGGCTCCGTAAAGCTTGTTGAGTGGGGTGATCCGCTAAGCCCCGAATATTCCAATAAATGGTCTTCACGTATCATGAGGAGCCATAGCAGCAACCCTAGCACGAGTTTGAATAGTCTCACACTTGTGCGTATGATAACCAAATTCCTCCTGTCTTTTTTCGTAAGTTTCCTTTAAATGTAATTAACTGTTCATTATTAGTTGTCTTCCCTGCGACAAACAATTGAAATCTTAACGACCTTGACATATCTGATATGATTTGCACAAATCCATGTGGGCTCGTTCATAAATCCTTGTGAAATCACATTTATTTGATTCTTTTGCAATTGTAATTAGACAAAAAGGAAGTTCTTGTCTGAATTAATTTCTATTATGGTACCGTGGATATTATTATAATTTGAACATTTGTAACACTACGGTAGAAACAAAAGTAAATGAGTTTTCAAAGGTATTTGCTGCATTCCTCGCAAGCTGCTTGGTTGTGATTTTGGCCCGGGGATGAAGGACAAAAGTGATTCAAATACCGTGACTGTTTCAACATCTCACAACTTGCTAACGATGGCTATCGTTTCTTGGTGGTTGTTGAGGGAGATGGGTTGGATTTCGATTCCCTTGAGATTTGACATAGCCTTGTTGATTGTCATTTTTACCGTCGTCCTGGATGTTAAGTACTTGACCTTGCTTGTGAGTGCTCCAGATTCAACTCCCCGTCTTCTTATGATTGATTGAACGTCCTGAACACATTCCTTGGTTTGCGAAAGGGCATCCTTTGCACTTCCACAAACATCCAAGGGCCTGAGAGAGCCGTCTAATACCTCAGTAGTGCATTTCTCATTCTGCGCTTGTGCCAAGGCCTGTTGAGTGAGGGGCAACTGATACTGAAGCAACCTCTCAACAGAATCATGCAAGTCTTGGAGACCACTTAATTTTTGGCTGATTGATGTTGATGATATGGAAGTGGCCTCGGAAGACCTCAATCTACACAAATGCTCGTCAATTTTTTGAACAATCGGGTGTGGCCTAGGGGGGAAGTTGTTAGAACGAGTGGGAAAGTCATTTCTTCGCGTTTTGGTTGACGTACAATTCAAACTTGATGTGTTCCTTTCCATCTGCATCTGGTTAATATATAGTGTTGGTTAAGGGAAAGGGGACATGGAATCTCATCCACCTCAATCTCCAGTGAGAGAAAACGCGATTTCGATCTGGATCTATACGTTCCCTATGTAATGCTTTTGCAATGTCTCTTGTCCCACCAGCATACCAACTCATTTTTGTATATAAAGTTTCTGTTTGGGTTAAAACTTAAACTTTGGGCTCAAAAGGGAGTTGGCCCAAAAAGATGAGAGAAGCCCGAAATCCAGCCGAAGCCCTGAAGGCAGAAAAGGCCTTTCTCGACTAGGTGTAGGTCATTTGCACCACTTGCTCACCTACCCGAAGATCAAGTGGTATAGACCAGCCAGCTAATCAGCCCAAAAGTACTTTACAGTGGCAGTACAAGTAAATAGCTGATGAGTCACTATCCTTCAAATCACATTCGGGCAAGATTACTGCTACAGGAGGCCAAGCCAAAGTGTCTATAAAAGAAGAAAGAGAAATCAGAGTTGAGGACACTCAAACAAACAAACAAATACAAGCACAAACTCTGCTCAAAAGCCAGATTTGCTTTCAAACGAAGCTGTAGTCAGCCCAAGCCTTCATCCCTTTCGGGATAAACCCTCACTCAAGCCTTTGTAATAGCTCTGCTACCCTGTTCAACTCTTGCTGTAGTATCAATTTCTTTCTGTAAACTCATCTCCCTACCCATCTTCTAAAGCTCTCAACCCCCTTGATAAACCACAAAGATAGGAAGTTGCAAGACGATCAGCCTTACCCGACAAGGTTAAACCTTGCCCGATCCTCTTTGTTTTGTTTTTTCATTCATTAGCCTAGCAATATGTTGTATACTTCAAGTTGTATTCAAGTTATTTCTAGTAAGATGGCTATTAAAAGACTCTCTCAGTGCTTGAATTCGATTTGAATATGTCTTCACAGTTCAAACCAGATCTAAGTTCGAATCCCTCGGCCATGTGAGATTTGATCATTTAAAAGTCCTTGGCCTCAAGGCATAAAAAAGAACCTTATGTGGACTTAACCCATCCACGACAAGCTTTGATAACAAGAAGTCCGAAGTTACTTGGGGCGCAAGTAATCGACCTATTCCTTAGTTTTATTTCTATTATATTATGATTACCATAAAACGTTTGAGTATGGAATGAATTCTGATAGGAAGCATCAAGGCCTACACCTAAGGCCCTACAAAGGCACCTATTTGGATTCATTCTATTCCTCGGGCTAGAACGTTTGAGTATAGAAGTAATTCTGATGGGAAGCCTCAAGGCCTATATCTAAGGCCCTACAAAGGCACCTATTTGGATTCATTCTGCTCTTCGGGCTCAAGTAATCAGAAGTATAATGGTTATAAGACTCATACAATCAATGAAGAGGACATTTTATGTTCGAGTACTGAGTTAGTTATTGACTGGAAGCCTTAAGGCCTACACCTAAGGCCCCACAAAGGCACCTGTCATAGCTAACATAGTCTCTCGGATATATATACAACTAAAACTCAACATCCGTTTTACATCTGCCATGCTGAAGATGGCAGTGGCACGCCTGAGCACTTAAAAGTTAATCTTGATTGTGAGCCTCAAGGCCTACACCTAAGGCCCCACGAAGGCACCTTTCAAAGTTAACTCTCTCCTTCTCTTTCAGCTTTGCCCGACAAGCCTTGCCCGACAAGCCTTGCCCGACAAGCTTTGCCCGATAAGCCCACCAGTGAAGCAGAAGCCTGACAGAAAGCATCAATCGACGCCAACCTCTCAGGGAGCTGTGTGCTCATCGGCCAGGGAACATCCCCGACGGAAATTCCTGCCACGAACAGTTTCATAGTATGCTTTCTTGGATTTCTGAAAATAAATTACGTGATTGCACGAGTGGGATCGACCCTTTGTGCAACAATATTCATCGAGAGGCGAGAAACCATCTTAGCCAACCTTCTTATATGCTTAAAAGCCTCATCTAAATTATGCTAATGAACCCTTTTAGTCCACTTTGTTCGTGTTAGGGCTATTCACTAATTATCCACATCAATCTTTTTATTAAAATGTGATAAATGTCATCCCTTAGGGCTATTCACTAATTATCCACATCAGTCTTTTTATTAAAATGTGATAAATGTCATCCCTTATTTATAGGTTTATCTTTTACTGAATTTAGAATTGAATATTATTTCTCCTTTTTCTTGCTCCTTATTTGTATATCAATTTTTTCTTTTATCTCCATCATAGGTTAATTATGTTAACTAATTTATGTGTTGTATCACAAACCACTTTTTATAGCATTTTTATAGCATTCAATAAATTCTATAAAAAGTGTGTTAAAGAAATCAACCCCATCTCATTGAAATACCCTACACAAATCTAGAATAAAAATTTCTGGAACATTCACTAAAGTTGGTTAGCTAGATTATCCAAGTTATAAAGTAGTCCTTTGTAGAAAGGACTAGAAGGTTCTCTTAAGTTGGTGGAAGAGTCTAGAAGAATGGTGAGGTTTCCACCAACATGCAAGATTAGTGTAGGTAATTATAGCTTAGGAAGTTACTGGAATTATCTAGATATCTCTAGCATTATGTTTCCATGCTTCTCCAAGATTCCATCCATGCCTATAAAAGGAGAAGGCATCCACACCATTTGTATCAACCAATGTAACCAACAAGAAAGAAAGAAGTAATCAAGCAAGTAGACAACCAAGTGAGAGTGAGAAGTAAGTGAGTAGTCTTGTGAAGAGTGTGAGTGGTCTAGAGTGTGTCTCTAGAAAGAGTGAGTGTCATAGCTTCTAAAGAGTGTCCTTGAGAGTTTGTGTGTTGCAATATTTTGTGTGTGTAATACAAGTAATTTGTTTACTTGTTTTGTCTTTCCAACACTTGTGTTAGAGTTGTGTACTCTAATTTTTCCTCAACAAAGTGTTCTATAGCATTTTCTTTAATGCTATGGTGGACCGCGCTATAGAAAGCTTTACACCTTCAATACTTTTTCGATTGCTATAAAGAAATTGCTATGAAATGTTTTCTATAGCATTTTCCAAATGTTATAAGATAATCTATATAATTTTATAAATGCTATAATCACTCTTTGTAGCATTTAAAAATACTATGAAAAATTTGTCATAGCAACTTCAAAATGTTACAGTAGACTTTTTTATGGCATTTTCAAACATTTCATAGCATTTGGTAGCATATAGGAAACATCTATTACATTTATGATATCGTTGTACAATCTATCACTTCGGAAACAATAAGTGAACTAAGAAATTTTTTTTTATTACAAATCACCAATGTAATATCACCATTCAATCATTTAAAATCATATGATATCTATACACAAATAGAATTGAACTAAACGAATACAACCATATTTTAATTAACCATTGCATCTCGCGCTTATTGTAATATAAATCAACATAAACAGACATGTTACGCTCAACGAAAGCTTAATTAAAAGGGAAACAACCAGAGCAAAATTCCAAGAAGTATTTACAACAAGAAGCAAAGATTGAAAATAGATATGCTACTAGGTCGCTCAACAAAAAATAAAAAATAAATAAATACCAACTACATAAAATCCTGACACATTATGACTTACCAGAGATTGAAAATAGATATGCCAACATATGTATGGATTAGAAAAACAATTTGGACAAAAAGAGGAATAACAAGTCGGAACCCAAAATACAGCCTACACTCTTACATTTCAAATGTCATTTTGACAGAAGCTACAACCTGCAAATTTACAGAGAAATATATAAGAGGAATTATTTGGCTCCATATAACCTCTTTCTACACCCAATTTAAACTTTAAATGTAAATTGTTTTTTTCTTTTCCTTATTGCATAATTACGAACAAGCACAAATATAATTAACAATAAAACTAATATTTATCCCATCCCAAAAATTAAACCCTACCATCATACAATATTTATCCTACCTCCATTCCGGCTGAAACCCTATGAGCTCTCATAAAGAAAAACAAGCTTTTTTTAGAATGGAGAAGATGAGTTTTTGGGTTTCAATTCATGGCTATCAACGCTAGAAGTTGAGAAGATGGGTTTTGAGTTTCGCATCGTATATGGTGGCGAAACCTCCCCTGCCAATTTGGTTTCCTCGAAGGTTTAGGCAAATCTTATAATTCCATGTCTCTCTCATCCCTTCATGAAGTTTGGTTTCCCCTGCCAATTTGGTTTCCTCAAAGGTTAGGCATATACTACTTGCCTCATCTCTTTCATGCATTTTTGGCAAATATTATAATTCTACGCTTCTCTTATCCTTCCATGCAGTTTTGGCAAATATTATTTTCTTCTTCCTGTTTTCTCTTTTTACTTGATATATATGGAGAAGTACACAGAGAAGTAGCAATGGCATTGAGTTAATGAGGATGGAGGCTGAAGGATTTTCACCCTTTTAACCTAATGTTCTTTCAAATTCAACCAAAAACAAACTCTAATATTCTTTCTGGATATACTTTTAATTACTATGAAGTTTGTTTTAACTTTTTTGCCATTGTCATGCATCTAATCTTCTCAACAAACACAACAGTTCCTCAAATTCAAGCCGTACAATCTGAAGGGGAAACTAAAAAAGAAATTATTATTAGTATATGGAAGATTCATAAACAAGTAGAAACTTCATCAAATTATTCAGCTTGTCCACAGAAGTTGAACTCCATAAAGCTTTCATAATTCCCATAAACAAGTAGAAACTTCACCAAATTATTCAATTTGAGATTTTATTTTCTAATGGGTGTCAAGATAAATTTACATTTTGAATTGGGTTTGTGAGGTTAGTTTAGGTAGTAAATGTGGGTTTAAAGAGATATTAAGTATTGAGAGATACTAAACCCACTCCATTGTCTTATTTCCCCACTCATGTTATATTTACACCCACTATAAAAAGTTACAAAATTAAAATGTTATTTTCCCACCCACTATTATTCCTAAAATAACCCTATATATAATTAGGTATAAATTTCTCTTAAAAAAAGAATATAAACAAACCTTCTAAAAAAGGGGAAAAAAAAGAAAAAAAACCATGTTTCCTTTCCAAATTCCAATTTGAGTGTCCTTTTTGAGATGCATTGCAATTCGCATTGTCATTGACGAATAGTATTTCAAGCTACTCAGCATCAATTAATTTAGGGAGTTTTAATGAAAAGGGTTTGGGTTAACTTTTATTTAATGAAAACCCACCCTAAACCATTATTTAATAAAAAGGGCTTAAATTTTAATCAGAAGGACACAAAATTTTTATCCTAGGCCCTACAAAACTAAAACACACAGGCCCACCAAAAAGCCCAAACCGCATAACAATTAATATTCCAAAATTGCCCCTAACGGAGCTTAACCCAGGTCCGTTAGCCAAAGTTACAGTTACTAAAATTCATCATCCCTCCCAACGCCATTAATGTTCACCAACCCCTTCACACCGTACCAAAAAATCGAAACCTCCATTGCTCCAAACGTCAAGATCTCAAAGCATTTTCAAGTTCGATTCAAGTTTTCAAACAATAATCTACACATCAAATCCGGAATTTCTCAACCCAAAAACTTCATTTGAAGACGAAAAACTGAAAACATTCGAATTGTATGTTTGCAGAGTCGAAATCGGACAAACACAAGTACGAACCTATAATTTATGATATTCTTGATGATTTCTTACTTTAATTTACTAAATATGTACATTTGCATGTTTGAGATTCTAAAAAATGAATTATGTTTCCAGTTTAGAGTTCTAATTTGCATCCAAACGAAAACACACAAAAAAATTGGGAAATAAAAGCAACAGAGAAGAAATAGAGGTACGTACCACAAAATGGCTGATATTTTCAGTGATTTTACAGTAATATGTAAGTTTGCATGCTTCGAATTCATTGAATGAGCAATGTTTCTGCAAAATGGTATATTTTTACTTCACTTTGATAACTGCTCATTTTCTTATAACCTTTAAATAGTATTTTCTTGCCCTCATATGTTTGTTTCTTTGCTTAAATAACTTCAATATAAGAAAAACTAATGAAAAGGGTTTTAAAACTTTGAGTTTTAACGATAAGGACAAAATAAAGGGTAAAGTGAATAGTACCAATATTGACTTTTTAGTGTATAAATGTGGTTTTTCGTTAAAGTGAACAGTACTGTGAGCTTTTCGTTAAAGTTCCCTTAAATATAATCAACATTCTATTCCGGTGGTGTTTTAGTTTAATAGACAGTGTTTACAAAATAGTTCACGATTTTTAAGTTTAATAAACAGTGTTTACGAAATAGTTTACAATTTGCTTCATTTGTAAATAGAATTGAAATGTAAGGAAATAGTAAAATCTGAGATGCATTCAAGAACGAGTATAAACATATATTATGCTATTACACGAACTAATGTGATTCTCTGTTAATAATTTGTACATTCAACAAACAATATAGTTTGATAAATAGTGTAGTTTTTTTGTTTCTGTTTGATAAACAGTGTGGATTCAGAATACATATGGTGTTTTAGTTCATTTTCTTAAATAGCATGCCCGACTCTGATGTAAATCTATCAATACTTTCAATATTTTATGTTTACGTTTCGTAAGTACTTTGAGTTATTTTGATTGATAAATAGTATGGCCATGTTGTTGTGGATCCAGAATCAGTGTGGTTTTCCAGTTGTAATCTATTCAGATATAGATCAATAAATAGTTCAGTTTTCTGGTAAAAAAATTGTGGTTTTCTTGTTCAGTTTGCTAAATGGTTCAATTTGCTAAATAGTTCAGTTTGATAAATAGTTCAATTTGCTTTGGTTAAAAAATGTGGTTTTCTAATTCACTTTGATAAATAGTTCAGTTTGTTTTGGTAAAAAAGTGTGGTTTTCTACTTCAATTTGCTAAATGGTTCAGTTTGCTATGGTAAAAAAGTGTAATTTTCTAGTTCACTTTGATAAATAGTTCAGTTTGCTTTGGTAAAAAAATGTGGTTTTCTACTTCAATTTGATAAATAGTTCAGTTTGCTTAATGGTTTAGTTTGATAAATAGTTCAGTTTGCTTTGGTAAAAAAATGTGATTTTCTAATTCACTCTGATAAATAGTTCAGTTTGCTTTGGTAAAAAATTGTGGTTTTCTAACTCAGTTTGATAAATAGTTCAGTTTGCTTTCATAAAAAAGTGTGGTTTTCTAGTTCACTTTGATAAATAGTTCAGTTTCTTTTGGTAAAAAAGTGTGATTTTCTACTTCAATTTGATAAATAGTTCAGTTTGCTAAATGGTTCAGTTTGATAAATAGTTCAGTTTGCTAAATAGTTCAGTTTGCTTTGGTAAAAAAGTGTGGTTTTCTAGTTCACTTTGATAAATAGTTCAGTTTGCTTTAGTAAAAAAATGTGGTTTTCTACTTCAATTTGATAAATAGTTCAATTTGCTTTCATAAAAAAATGTGGTTTTCTAGTTCACTTTGATAAATAGTGTGGGGTATACAAATATGGATCATTAAATAGTTTACATTTATTTGTTCAGTATCACAAAGTATTCTGGTGTAAGTTTGTTCTAATTTAAGGAACAACATAATTTTATTTTCGTTCTATTTGATGAACAATGTAACCTATTTTGATGTGAATTCAAAATTAGTGTGTTTTCATAGTTCACTTTCATAATAAAAAATTTGTGGTATATTTTGATATAGGTACAAAAAATAGTTGTAATAATTAAACTATGTTTATTCTTACATATGGACGGAGCAAAGAAACCAAGAATGAAGACTTTCCCTGTAAAGAGTCCACATAAGAAAGAGAATAAAAGACCTGCAACTTCTTATGTGCAATACAGATGCAATGTTTTCGGGTTTGCAAATTCAATGCAATTGTACAAACCAATGCTTCAACAACGCCATGATGTCTGCAATCATTTGGCCAAGACACCATTTTGGAGTCTGATCAAGTTCTACATGGATGATGAAATCGTTGCAACGGAAAGAAAAAAGAAGTCTGATATGGATCTAATCAAGATTATACAATGCTATGACTCCAAGCAACAAAAATTCAAATTTGGAGATCATGAGCCAAAAGCAATAACAAGTGAAGACGTTGTTGAAATATTTGATTGAACAACCAAGGAGTTGAACTACCAAACACAGACAAATCCATAAAGAACATAAAGGATAACTTTGTCAAAACATATTTCATGAACAAAAAAATAGTGAAAAAAGGACATTCTTGAAGCATACCAAAAATCAATCCAAGACGAAACTCCTAAAGGGGCCAAAGCTATTGCTTCAATCATATGTGTGCATCTGCTACAATCCCTCTTATTTGCAACCTCCGGAACTTACATCACATGGAGCTTCATAACAATTTGTGGGGCATTAGACCAAATCAGCAAATGCAACTGGGCAAAAGGAGTGAGGGACTACTTGTTCAAGAGGATTAACAAATCAAAGAAAAAGAGGAAAAATGGAGAAGAATCAACAACAAGTGGATGCACTGCCCTTATTTTGGTAAGAAATAAGAACTATATTTTAAAAACATGAATTCTGTCTTATAAATTACACAAGAAAGTAATTCAAAGTTCTTATTTCATGCAGTATTGGATTTGTCTTCACACCAATCTGGCGAAGACAATCAATGGGCGAGAAAATGATTTCTGTCATTGGAAGATGGGACATAACGAAAATCCACAAAGCAATAAGAGACATTCGATTTGAAGAAATTGAGGTAAGGACAAATAATAAAAGTATTTCAATAAACAATATATTTTTGCACTTTACAGTTTCATAACATAGTGATCTTTATAATTTAAAGTTTCAGAAGTGGTAGCTTCATAATCATACAGAAATAGTTCAAACTAGTAATAAGCCCGCGTGATGCTGCGGGACTTGAATTCACCAGCCTTAACTACATGAATAAGACACATTTAACCTGAAAGACATTCAACATAATCATGAACGAACAAAAATAATAGATCTAGGAAATTATAAAAAGCTTTGTAACCGTAAATCCAAGAAATTATAAAAATCCATCCAATCAAGAGACTAATAGTTGTGGGAAGGTGAGTATGCAACCAAGAATCTTAAGATATATTTGACTTGCAATTCCATTATAATTTCACACAAAAAAAAAGGATCAAATTTGGATTGAAACATCAAACAAAACAATCTCATCTGTTACAAATTGGACCAACTAAATAAAGAATATATCGATAAGATTTTCAACCTAACTATAAAAAAGAGCTTTATAACAGCGCAATCAACATTATTTGAACTCAACTAAACAGAAACTAATTGCATGTTATAAATTCCATAGGTAATTGAATGGCAGCGCAGCCCCTACAGAATGTTTTTTAATCGATTTAGTAGTTAACACTGGACAATTGCACAATACAAATCTTAGAAACTATTCCAACTTAGAGCAAAAATTACCTCTAATCTTTGTTTCTCTTGTACTTTGGTATTGGGGTGAATGAAGTCCTGAAAACACAAAGAATAAAAAGCCTCTGTTTCAGTTAACTGAAAAAAAACAAACCATAAACAAAGTGAGATATCTGGTAACCAAAAAATGAATCTTGGAAAGCAGACATAAGCAAACTTCCATCAACATTACTTTAATACATTTGGATATCAAGGAAAATTACATGTATTCAATTTTGATATAAAAAAAAATTAATTAATGCAGGAACAACATTTGTGCCTCAATGACGTGAGAAGTACTCAAACAAACATTGTTTTCTTTAAGTCTTTAGTCTATCTCTGCAAATCGCAATAACTCATATCCATTGAGAATCAAATTAACTAATTAACTTACTAACCCATCCTGTAAATTTCACATCTATGCTCTAAACAGATTTTGTAACTAATATCCCAAAAAAGGGGCAAAAGGGAAGGAAAAAAACTTTTGTATGGTACACTACAATGTTATTTGTGTAACCAAAGTCAAGCGCTGAAACGCCAGCAACCTCATTGTATTCTTGGAAATCTGTTGCAGATTTTATGGCTCCAAAAGAAAATATATCCTGCAGCATTAATATCATTTAGACTGACGTATTTTTTCCAAGTGAATACACATGCAAAGTATCAAAAAGAGAGAAAGGAGAAAAAATTATCAAAATAAGAATTACAAACCTGTCCTATAATATAAACAAAAGGTAATTACAGAAAAATAGCTGGAAAACACAAAATAAGTAGAAGAGAAAAGAGACAATCAGCATAATCTAAAATTACTTAAACAATTAATCCACATTGAAAAGCATAATTTACAAATCCAAACCAAATTACATCATCCAATAGATTTTTTTTATACATTTGTTATTGTGCCTTTAAATTGATTTTAGCAAAACTTGTTTCTTTTTCCACAGTTTGTGAAGCTCAAAATTTTCAAAAACCTACAATCATTACACAACGTTGTCATATCATAAGTGTAGAAGAAATCAATGCTACCAAAATTTATAAAGACCAAAACAGTTAGCACCCAAAAATAACATTGATTAGCAAAGACCAATTTGCCAACAAAAGTTGAGTAGGAGATACCCAGAAAATTTCCTTAGTTTTTACGATTCTTAAAAATATGACCTAACTTTAACCAAGACTCAAATTTTATTCAAGGATCGTGTTAAGCTAAGCAGCAAATTATAAATTCACTAATCTTGTTCTTAATTATAGTAAATTAGAAATCAACAGATACAAAAAAAAAAGTCACAAAGCTTAATAAAAACTCATGAAAAAAAAAAGTTTTAAACAGATCACCTGCACATGACCCTATAATTTGGCTAATTTACAAACGCTCAACGTGCTCAGCAGATGTTAAACTTTTCAGTAGTATATAATTTGAAACTAATAAAACCATCTCTAACTTTTCAGAAATATTTAAACTGAAATGAATTGATATTTTTTTCTATACACTGATAAATCAAGGTTTGCTACAGAAAAGGAATCTATAATTTAAGCTTCAAAATGCATTATAACATCAATTAATCCAAAGAGAGCAAGCTGACGATAACAATTTGATTAGCTTTGGAAATCTCTTTGCTTTATCACTTCAAGATACTAAATTTTTCAAGCTGTCTTCTCTCTCTCTCTCAAACGCCTTTTTTTTCTAGCAACTGGCCTAGAAAAGACTAAAACCCAAATGCATGGGGTAGAATTTCACCCAAAATATTGGGAAAACTAAATAAACAAATAAAATTAAAAGATAAGTGCATGAAAAATCAAATCTTTCACTCCTATAAAATGAAAGCAATTTTTTTTTGTCGTTGATGAGTCTAAAATCCCATCCTCATAATACTCAAAGGTAAAAGAAATATAGCAAAAAGATAAGATGTAACTACGGTCCCTGATGGTGCGCAACTAAAGAAAGAAAGACAGCGCTCATAAAGAGAGAAAGACAGAGAGAGAGAGAGAAGAGAAATATGATATCTCCATATGGTATTCTGGAGCCAAAAGAAAAGCTGCAGACGGAAATAAGCTGGAAAGAATCAATTTAAGATAAACATTCAACAATAGAAATCAAGAAATCAATTTAAGATTACTGACCCAGGTAAGTAAGCTGTTGTGAAGGTAAAGAGGCCCAAGAAGCTCATATGAATGAAAGGATTTTGCTTGCTGCACACATAGACCTGTAAACTCGAGTAAACCCAACGTCAATCAGACCATAGGCCAAAAATCTCAACAAACAAAAACTGAGCATAAATTCAAAAATCAAAAGTCAGAGAAATTTGTGACCCTAATTTGTGAAACTGCAGAGATCTGAGATGTAGAGAGAGGGGAATATATCCCAAACGATCCCATATTTTGGAACTGCTTTAAACCAACCTACTATGAAATTATAGCCACTTGAGAAATCTTCAAATCAGAACAGAACAGGCAGCAAGGGGAAGAATTTGCAAATCCCTGAAATCCCTCCATCTCTCGCTCTGTCTCCGTCTCTCTCTCTGTCTCTCTCCATCTCTATCTCAGATGCGGCATAACCTCCTGTCTGCCCTACAATCCCCTCAACATTAATCCCAATTTTTGGCAGACCTCCCTCTCCATTAGTCTCCCTGACATTCCACACCCTCATCCCCTTCTCCGTCTGTAACTAATCCAGCCCCATTCCACAAACCCAGCTCAAGCCTTACCCCCACTCTGGCCCCCTCACTTTCTCGAAACCAACTCTCAAACCCTAGAACACAGCACTCTCTCGCAACCATCTGAATGACCCGGATGCAACAACCCTTGCCCTCCCTCCTGTCGTCGCCTAACCCCAAATCGAGCATCACCACTCAATCCCCTCTCTCTCTCCCTTGAATCATACACCCCTGTGACTCTGTCTGCCTGCAAGCCGCATGCCTTCCTCTCACCAAATCCATCTCTCTCTCCCTCCCTCCCTCCCTTCCTCTGAGTGACACAGTTTGAGTTACTTCTACTGTGTTTGACCATTTTTCTTCAAATCACATAATACATTTTTCATCATCATCACAATCATTTTGGGAACCAAATCTTAAGAAATATAAGAATCACCCTATTTATTTCACTTCTTCACAAGGGATAATCTTATATAAAAGAATTCGAAACGTATTCAAGGTAGAGCAAGCTAAGGATTTAGAAGATAAAGACCCTTTTTTTAGCAATATCTAATTTAAGCATTAGTCTATACTGCATGAATACAATATATAACACTACCAAACAAAGGAGATGAAGTGGAGAATGAAACACATACAGACTGATTAACAGAATAAGAATCATTTACCCTTCCCTACACCATGTAAGGTGCTTATGGGTTGCCAAAAAGCGGAAAATGTAATTCCAATGCTAAACAAATGCACTATACTCCCAACCATCCATATCATGAAACCATCATCGCCAAATTCTTGAATGGGACCTGTGCAACTTCCCAAGCTTTCTGCTAAACACAAAGAAACCATGAGATGATGAGATCACATAAATCCAAACCTTTAAGAAATCAGGTTATACTGTATTTTATAATTATTTGCATAGTCGAACTCAGAAATCAGGTTATGCAAAACCCTAAAAATTAGCAATTAATTTCTTTGATCCTAATTACAAAATGTATTGGCATATGAAGTGGGATCCCAAAATATAGTTTGAGAACTATATTTGGAATCCTGAGATCATGCACCAACAGAGTCACAGATTACCAAACGCTTTAATCGAAACACAAAATAACCACCAAACATTAAAATTCCAAAAACCTAAAACACAAAGCAAACAATTACGGTAAAATTAATATTTAGCAAAATAAAATGAACGAACAATGTATACAAATTCCTTTTCCTAGCTTCTTGCACATTCTAAATCTGTGGGAACCATATACAAATTTGTTTATTTTACAAAATTTATTAAGCATTTAATTAACATAACAACATTCAGAATTATAGTGGTTCTCTATGGTGCAATTATAAATTACAGTGGAAATGTAAACTTGCAATTCAAGTCTATGCACCTGGTTGAATTTAAAATGCTTACATGCTAATCGTCTACAGTTAAGTTGTTAAACTCTAATTGATGATGTTGAAGTGAATAATTAAAACGAAGAGTAAACATAGTCATACAACAAATTAACAATGCCATGCAAAAAACTTGCTCGTTGGACAACTTAACCCTGTATTCCATCTCCTTATCTGTCATACCAAAAATCTGCACAATTGTTTAAATCCAAATTCAGGTCTTTCCAAAACCCGCCTGAATTATTTGAAAAACACGAATTTAGAACAATAATTCAAACCCAAAGAAAAGAATATCCATTACTCAAAGTAAAAATTAACCATCTCGTTGCTTCCTAGCTCTAAGGAAATGCCTAGGTTTCACTTTTACTAATGTCGAAACACCGCCATAATTGACCAATTAGACAAATAAGACCCAATTCGATTACGCCCAAACTGGCAGAACACCCAGATTCCCAACACCCATTGAGCAATCTAACCATAATTCAGCACATGAATAAAGTGAAAACATAAAAGATGCATGGGATAAGCTGACAGCCAGGCATCCCTGCATAATACATTCACTTCTGAACCCCAAACACAACGAAACAAAAATCCACACACATGAACTACTGCTCCCCTATGTAATAAGAATTAAAAGCATCTCAAAACAAAATGGCAAACTATAAGAGCACTGTAAAAGTAAAATTGCAAGAAATCTAATACTTGGAGGGCAAGTACTAATCAGACCAAAATGAAAGATTGAACTACCTTGCGTGGAACTGTGCCTTGGTTTTTTCCCATACTTACAGGAAGCTTTGCATTGAGCTCTTATAGCCCAAATTTTCTTTGAAGGGAAAAAAACACAATTTTGAAATAAGATTTTCATATTATACCTTAAAGAGAAGAATTAGAAAATGAATAAGAGAACAATGAGTACTTTTCATCATATATTGTTAGAGTATGTGGTCCTCTGGTCCAATGGTCCTGCAGCCATATTTACTTTATAACTCTTTCTTTTAGTCTAAAAAACATCTTGGATCTCTAACTAATATGAATACAGATTCATACTTTATAACTAAAGATCTTACTGCTCCTAATAAGATGAACAAAACGTCATTTATCTCATGCATTGCATTACAAACACAATGGAACATCTCATTAGACATCCCCACACAAAAAGTTTTTATTGCTACTTTGATTTTTGCTTATCCTTTTCCTGAAGCATGAGGGAGCTAATTTTTTATTTATTCCAATAACGTTAGGGTTGCAAGGATATTATCAATTTAATTGATTGTATTTGATTGGTGGAACTTCTACATCTATATTTCAGGTTTTCAATTTTAGCACTGGGAGAGTCATTCAGAAAATGTTCGACATTGAGATTACCTCCATGGATTATGTTCACAATGGACATCTCATGTTTTGCGGTGATGGGACAATATTTTTCAGTCATTCGCCATTCAATCAATTCAAACTGAGGAACAGGCAACATCAAGAAGAGGATCTGCCATGTCAGGATCACTGTCGTCCAATTAATACAAAAAATGGAGATAAAAACGATCAATTTACATAACAGCCTTTCATTTTCTCAACAACCAAGCAAAAGAAAATACCTATCCGTTAAACACTCGATTTGGGAGTAAATGTCGCTGAAACTGGGCTTCAATCCCCTCAACCGCAACAACCGAATCGAGGTGTGCAAGTCATTGAAAAACTCACCCATGATTTCAAAGCTGCATAAAGAAATAAATAAGCACATAAATTAGCCAACCCAGAAATCAAAGAAATCAAAATCCACCCAGATTCAAAGAAATCAAAACCCATCCAGAACCAAAGAAATCAAAATCACACACAGATACGCAAGACAACCCAAATATGAAGCCTTACTTTTCGGGTAGCTTGGCGGCTGACATGAGTCTTCTTCAGTGTTTCATCCATCCATGGATCCATTTTCTGCCGGTCACTTCTGGGTCGTACAATCTTAAGATCTGCAAAAAGAATTTAAAGAATCAATTTTTACGATTGAAAAGCCAAAAGTGCTACAAACTCCAAATTAATGAGAACCAAAGTGGAGTAACACTTACAGGTCGTGAGAGGAGATGAGGACGTTGTCGGATTTTAGGCGAATCGGATTATGGAAATTGCATCTCGGATTGGGCTTTCGAACTTCATGGTGGACCCAAGCAACTCTCTTTCTGTCCCCCTAATCGTGCATCTGCCCTCACCTTCTCTCTGCACCCAACCCCCACCCATATCTCCCCCAAATCACGCCCCACAACATCCCATCAGTGAAGAATCAAATCCAAAAGTAAATTGTAGTTACCTATTATGGTAGGATTTAAATAAGAGTCTCCAAATAGAAAGACAAAGGATATAATACAACAGATAGCTCACCAAAAAGTTGTAGCCCTTTCACAGCAGTGATACATTTCCGCTTATCATGCATGGCCTTTTCAATTGTAATTTCTTGCTTCTCCTGCAGAAAAAAACACAACAGAACAGATTTCAATAACCACTCATACCTATTCCATCTCTGGAACTAAAACTTTCAGTTATTTATCTATATATAAAACTTTCAATTGTAATTTCTTGCTTCTCCTGCATAAAATACAAATCATTGTATATTTGCACAATCAAATATTTATGGAACTCACAACCGAGAGCCAGAGCTTCAATTCCGGTGAAACCACCATTTTCTCAAACCCTTGGCGACCAATTCTTACATCATCTATATGGTAAAATTGATCAATCAATCAAAGATTTAAAAAACTTTTGAACTTTAACCTCAATTACAACATGCAAACCCAAAATCGATCCAAATCAAAATTGAAGAATCCTAATAAGAACAAAGGCACTAAACTATAGAATTTGGTATTTCTTAAAACCCCTAACCCATGATATTTTAAATCCTTAAATTTTCTGAGCACCGAAACACTATCAAACTAACATGATTAAAGAAATTGCTAATTACAAATGGGGGAAACTACAGCCCATGGGTAGTTCCTGAAATCCCATCATGTTTTCAATTCCAAAATTTCTCGTCATTTAGGAAAACCACTAAGCTTGTCTACCCTGTACTGTGCACCTAATAATAGCGCAAGGAAAGAAGAAAAATAAGATAAAAAAAATACATAGCTATACGGCCATAACTGCATCCTATCTAAAACGCACTAAAATGTTAGAGATAAAGTTTGGAACTCAACATTGTATAACATTTACAGATGACAACCAGTGTAAATTTGTGAAAAGCGAAATCACTCCATTGTTTTGAACGTTGTTATTTTGGGAAACCTTGCAAATCACATTTTTAGGTGAGGGCAAACTACCAAAAAGGAAAAGGATTTATACCTTTTATCAAAGATCTACAGCCTTGGTTCCTCCGCCATTGCTTGTCTTCTCCGGTCTGAGTTTCACTTTCCTCGCAGTCTCTTCCTTCACTGGTAGTTTTTTGTCTTGCAGAGAGAAAAAAAAATTAGGGTTAAATTCTAAACGCAAGGTTCCTTGATCCTTCCGCTTCAGAAATTTGTTGTCGCATAGCCAAAAATTAGAGAAAATAAGCTTTGGTTCAGAACTTACTCTCTGCAGGCATGGCTTCCTCCTCAATTTTCGTCATCCTCCTCTTTCTGTGATCTCTCTTTCTGTCTCTCTCCTTGTCTTTGTGCAATCGTTCTCTCCCTCTCTCTCTCTCTCTTTCTGCGTTCTTCCCTCTGTGCAAGCCCATACTCACCAACTCCCTCAATCAACTCTTTTTCTCTCTCACTCCGTTCCCTGTCTGTGAATCCCTGTGCATCAATAATCTGAAAACCCAGTTCGATTTTTCATTGCTCGGATGGAGAAAATTGAGGAATGAAAGAACAAATTAGGGTTAGGACTAAAGTTGAGAGAGATGGAGAGTTGGGAGAAAGGGAGAGTTTGAAAGACAGTGAAAGAGAAAAGGCTAGAGAGAGGTTGAGTGTGACAGAGATGAGGGGAAAACACGGGATGGGATTACCAATCCCTGTAATTTCTCTTTCTGTCACTGTCATTGTCACTTTCTCTCACTGTCGCCCTCTCACTCATCCATGCCAGGATTGGCATGGCCTTGCCTGTGCCGAAGACAGACGAAGTGACGGGGAATGAACCTAACCCCAATCTGAAACCCTAATGATAAAAAGACGATTCTACCCCTTTAACTCACCATCCTCACCGTGGGATCTGAAGATGAGATGGGTAGTCTCGTCATTTAGCACAATAAAAATTTTCTGAAGCCCAGTGGCAATTTTGCAAATTTGGTGAAACCGATATATCTGTTTAGACAAAATTACCCCCCTAACTTTTGATAACTACATTCCAACCCAACCCCAAATCCCACGGTTTTGTTGTAAATAAAGCAAAATCGAGGGGGGAGGAATTGACCTCAAAAGACAAAATCACCCTCTAAACTTTTGAGAATTACCCCCAACCCAGCCACATTCAGCTAGCATTGTTGTAAATAAAGCAAAATCAAAACAAACATGAACAGTGCCTGCCCTCCCCCTACTTTAGAATAAATAATTTGAAGTTCAATAATAATTCAACTTTACATTTGTACAAACAATGAAACCTGCATAATCTCTAATACAACAAAACCAGTCGTAGTGTCATTTATATAAAATAGAAATAGTGTCAAATCCAGCAATAGTTTCTAAATTTCTTGAAGAGTCCATGTTTGCAGTCTAAAAGAAAAGTGTATTTCAATAAATAGTGATCTATCGATAATGTAATAATACAAAATCCAGAAAATAATGTCATACTACTAATATTGTTAGTTTACAAGTTCAGAAATAGTGTCATAATAATGATATAGGAATAGTTTAGATTTCACGTTGTATATATAGTTTCTTTTAGCATTTCTATAAACAGTAACATATATTACTCTATTACACAAACTAGTGTGATTCTCTTTTAATAATTTGTACATTCAGTAAATAGTTTGCATTTTTTTAAAGTTTAATAAACAATGTTTACGAAACAATGACATTATTATGTAATTTAACAACTATTTAATGTGTCATTGTGCAGATTGGTGGTGGTATTCCTTGTGCTGAACCAAATGAGCCGTTTGGTCGTGTTATTCCTTGTTCTGAAGAACCAACAGAGGAGCATTCCAACATAAACCAAGAAGAACGTAATGCCATTCCTTATCCTGAACAAAACAATGAGTCTTCTAAGAAAAAGAAAAATAAGACAACGGGAAGGAAAAGGAAGAGAACTGAAGTTGGAGCTCAAGAAGATCAAAACATCACCATCACTAAAGGTCAGTTATAGTTTGATCAACTGTACAAAGAAAAATTGATGAAATTTGATGCAATTTATCAAAAGGACTTCATTGGGATTGATAACACATTAGGTGTGGAAGGTTTTGAAAAGTTTAAAAGATGTGCGAGCATGGATCAAAAGAGGTATCTAGTCCTCAGTCACATGATGATATATGTACTCGACAACCTACACACAGATTCAATTGTAACGAATCAAACAACTAGAGCCCTCAACAGAAACATTGAAAAACTTCTGCAATTTAGACATGAGGACAAGCAGAAGATTAGTTCAATGAAATTTGAAATGAAACAGTTGCAATTAAAGAACACATCAGTTTCTATGAAAGTAAATAAATTTCTGGATGAAATTGGAAGTTTGAAGAAGAAGCTACTGGAAAATCAAGCAATAGTACCAGATCTAAATGCTTCAACCAAGGAAGATCCAAAAGAGGATGAACCACCTAAAGAAGATCTAGAAAATGATGATCAAGTGAAGAGCATACACATGATAAGGATACTGCTACTGAGGATCCAGTTCAAGAGAATGCAACTGAAAATGATGTGGCTATAGAGGATCCAAAACAAAGGCATGCAACTGATCATGATCTAGATGAAAATGAGGAGGATTAAGCTGAAAAGGATCAAGAACATGAAGGAAAAGACATTGCCACTGCAAAAGGAACCTCTGGAGTTCAACAAGATGTTCAAATGCAGACTCCAACTATCAAGGATCCTGAAAAGCAAGGAAAAGAGACTGCAAAAAAGAAGACGAGAACACTGGTAAAAAATATTAAAAAAAAAGGATGATCGTAAACCAAATTTCGATCCACAGTATGATTATATCCCCATCCAAAGAAAACAAAAGAAGGAAAAATACATATATGTTGTGAGTGACAGTGAAAACCCTTCAACTGTTCCGTCAAAAAGCCAACCGTTGGAACCATAATTGAGAAAGGAAAGGAAGAGCCAAAGGTTGAATCACCCTTGGAAGAAATAGCAAAGAAACCTGCAAAGAAGGCTGCAAAGAAACCTGTAAAGCAAAAGTTTGACAAACGGTATCATCTACTTGCATCAACAAAGGCGTACAAGTTACTTGAAGATGAGACAAAAGAAAAATTCAAGGAATATTACAGACAAGAGAAAATGTAAGTTTACATTATTAATCATAACTTAATACATGCGTATACACACACACACACACAGATATATATACATAGATATATAATATGTTTTATTTTCTGATACAGGGACTACTTTTGGATTAAACCAAGGCAAGGGTCCATGGCGACTGACCTTGTTGTCCTAAAATCAGATCTGACGTCATTGTTTGTGGATATCTGACGTCATTGTTTGTGGATGGAGCAATTGACGCCAACATAATTGATGCTTCGTTCTACACAATGGTAGAAAACGAATAAAAAATAGGGCAACAACAAAATCTGTATCTTCCTTCATTCATCTTTGTAAGTGCCAAACAGTTTTATTTACAAAATAAGTGTAGTTTTCTAATTCACTGTGATATATAGTTCAATTTTGTAAATGCCAAACAGTTTTGTTGACAAAAAAAGTTTGCCAAACAGTTTGCCTTGGTAAAAAAGTGTGGTTTTCTAGTTCACTATGATAAATAGTTCATTTTGATATATAGTTCAGTTTGCTTTGGTAACAAAGTGTGGTTTTCTAGTTCACTTTGCTAATAGTTCACTTTGATATGTAGTTTGGTTTGCTTTGGTAACAAAGTGTGGTTTTCTAGTTCACTTTGTTATTAGTTCAGTTTGCTTTGGTAACAAAGTGTGGTTTTCTAGTTCACTTTGCTAAATAGTTCACTTTGATATTAGTTCAGTTTGCTTTGTATACTTGCCTCCTACAAAAGGCCTTGCATTCACTTTAAAACTTTAAATGTGTATTATTGGTTCAGAATTATATGGAGATTGAAACAAAAATGTGTTTTCTTAGTTCAGTTTAAGAAATTAGTGTTACTTATTAATTAAGATTAATAAATAAATGTGTATTCTTGGTTCAGAATGATGTGGAGATTGAAAAAAGTAAGAGTGATCAGGAGCACATTGACCAAACATTGAAGATAGTCTTACAAGATAATGTGGATAAAGTCAGAAACGTCTTCATACTGATCAAGCATTACTTCCACTTCAACTTAATAGTTTGGGACATTAAAAATGGAAAAAATGACACACTACAATTCCAAACTATCGAGGGTACATGGGCATACAGACCAATACTTTGATCATGCTGTGCAAGTGGTAAGAACAAAACTATAACTCAATTACAAACTATATTCTTATGCTGATAGGAAAAATCAAACTTCATAATACAATTTCTTTTTTTGTTTTTTTTTTTTTTACTTTTTATGTTATTTTTATTTGTTTTGGCACAAAGTAGAAGCATTTTACAAAGATTTCAAAGGACACAGCAACCTCACAATAGATATTCAAAGATGCTTAACTTGCGCACAACCAAAGGAGGACTCGTAAGTACAAACAAGAAGCTGACCTCTATATTTTTCAATCAAATTTATACATTCAAACACATAAGAAGGACCATGAAAATCATATATACAAACACAAGACTCATACTTGAAAAATAGTTTGCAGTTTGCAAAATAATGTCATAAGAAGTTTCAGAAATAATTGATTTTTCACTCTTTACACTTTACGAAACAATATTACAAATCAACAAATAGTTCATTTTTTTCAGTAATTATATGTCACCTAACTACAAATATATGGAAATGAGACACAGAAAACAGAAAACAAAATCATTCTAGGAAAATATACTATAAATTTAAACTTTGCAAAATAGTGTCATAATATAGTTTCAGATATAGTTCTAGTTTGCATAACAGTGTTACGAACAAGAAATAGTTCCATTTTTTTCAATACTTATCTGTTATCTAATTAAATTATATGCAAAATAAAACAAAAAACAAAAAACAAAATCATTATGGGAAAAAATAGGGAACTTTAACGAAAAGCTCCCGGTACTGTTCACTTTAATGAAAAAACACATTTTTACACTAAAAAGTCACTATTCACTTTACCCTTTATTTTCTCTTTTTTGTTAAAACTCAAAGTTTTCAAGCCCTTTTCATTAGTTTTAGAAATAGTTTCATTTTTCACTTTTAATATGTCATCGAATGTTTGTAATATGATCTCATTATCTGTTATACTTATTTGTTTTTCCAAAAAAAAAATGCAGATTGGATTGTGGCATATTTGTCATATTTGTCATTTAATTTGCAAACCAAGTGCAAGAGGGCAAACCAATAGAAGCCACCTTTGAGAAGGAAGAAGTATTTGCCAAAGAGCTCAAATTGCAACTACACTTGTGAATCACGAGAATAGTTATGCAAATGGACTGAAGAAGATACTTGAAGACAAAAGACGACAAAATAAACATGGTCAATATGATGACATTCCTGATGAGGATTTTATTACATTAGCATGAGTTTTACAAATTACATTTTATATCAATGTACATCTACATACAAAACCCCGAGCTTAGGTGGGCTTGTATGCTGGTGCCCATCCCATACTTGCGTACGTTTTATAATTTTTTTGCCCTAGGGGGCCTAACACCATTACTCATCTAAAGAAACCATGTAAAAATGAAAAAGAAGTAAAGTTTAGTATGAAGCCAATCAACTTCACATACTTGATTTTTTGAGTTATAACTTATAAGAATGAGAACTATATTAAAAAATTTCACATGCTTGCATTTCGACACTTCTTTTTTGTTAAAGTTCCCTTTTATTATCCAAAGAATATAGTTACCAAATTAGATAAATTTATGCAAAACAAAAAACTAGATAACTTAAACTGTTTCTGAAATACATGTGCACACTATATCTATATCTAAAAAATGAAAAACAACAACTTTTTTTTTTTTTCCAGTTCCCAGCACCCAAATTTCCCATCCTTCATGCATAATTAACGCCCAACAAAAATCATCATTTCACTCTCGCACTAACTTCACTTTCTCTCTCTAACACCAACTCCCATTTTCACGCATAAATAAGCCATTCACAATGAAGAAACTGCATACACTATAAAAAAAAAACCAGAAACCCAGCCCCCAGCTCAAAGCATCCATCCTCATTTCCCCATTTCATACATCATTTCAGTTCTTTTACGGACGAATTCACGCAAATTTCAATTTCGCTGAGCAATTTGGTTGTAGAAATACCCAGAAAATAAACAAAAGGTAACAATCTTACAATTTTTCTCAACATATTTCACAAAATCATACGGTTCATTGTTTATATAACTAACATCTACTGGAATCAAGCATATAGAATAACATGTATCAACTTAAACAAAACCCAAATTATACTATTTGCTTAAATTTATTTTGTTATTTACTCTCAGTACGAATCCATCATAGATCCACAAAAAAAAAAGACTATTTACTAGTTAATCATTCAATATATAAACATACATTATGCTATTACACGAACTAGTGTGAGTCTTTGTTTGTAATTTTTACATTTGAGTAAAATAGTTCCCGATTTTTAAGTTTAATAAACACTGTTTACGAAATAGTTTACAATTTGCTTCATTTGTAAATAGAATTGAAATGTACGGAAATAATAAAATCTAGGATGCATTCACGAACAAGTATAAACATATATTATACTATTACATGAACTAGTGTGATTTTCTGTTAATAATTTGTACATTCAGTAAATAGTTTGTGTGTTTTTAAAGTTTAATATACAGTGTTTACGAAACAGTTAACAATTGCTTCATTTATAAATAGAATTGCAATTTTCCAGATCTTACACATAATACACCTTCTATTGTACATTTTTATTTCTAATTTATTTAGTTATATGAATCTTATAAAGATTTATACAGTTATAAAAATGTTTTCTATTTCCATAAATAGTAATTCACCTTGGTATGTTTCAGATATAATTGTGTACTCATACTAATTTTTATTTGTTTACAATCAAGTTGCATTCTAATAAAAACTATATTGACAGATGGTTCCAGTCAGAATAACTGTACAAATGTCAAACTCAACCAAAGCCAATGTCAAAATGATATCCAAAACAACAAAGAGGACAGAACAAAGGAAAATGCTTGAAGAAATACAAAACATATCACGTACGAAGAAGGAGACAATTCATCTACAGATTAACACAACTACTGAAGAAGAAGTTAGAGAACCAATGCAAAGTGCAAAAAAAAACAACCACTACAAAGGCAGAGGAAGAGGGAGACACAACCTAAAGAACAGAACAATTGTGAATTTAAGATGCAGAAGAAAAGATGCCAAACACTCCAACCACCAACAGCAATCAAGAGAAAGAAAAAGGAAAATGACAAACCACTTTTAAAGAGAAAGAAAAAGGAAAATGCCAAACCAGTTTTAGAATCAAACAAGCAACAAATTGAGGAAGGAATAGTGCAAAAAGAGGCAATACAACAAACAAATGAGCATAGTGACAGAATTGGCACATTGCCGGATAAAAATGTTTCAACAATGGCAAAAGAAAGAGAACAAGAAAAAAATATTGAAGCTTTAAAAAGCAACAATGCTCTCAACAAGAATGATCTACAAGTCAAAAAACAAACATTCAACCAAAAAGCAACAAAGCCAACAACAAAAAACAAAAAGAAAGTCTTGGGTGAAATTCCATTATTCAACCTGGATTTAAAAGATGAGCCTTCTTCACAACCGGATGACCTTCCAGCAACAAATCACATAGACATCAGTGTGAATTGGATACAACTTCAAGTGTACAAGATGCTGAAACCAAATGATAGAATAAGAATAACTCAATTTTGGTCAACATATAGCAGGTAATTAATATAAAACAAAACTCTTAACTGAAGTTTTTCTACACACTCCCATAACTTTATAAGCACTGACGAATTATTATATAACTAATACTTTTGCATTGTCCTGCAGCAATGATTACTGAACGGCTGAAACTACAGATTTCAACTATTACAGAATAATGGTGTTGAAAGAAGACCTGCATAGTTTAATGGCAAATGGACTTACATCAAGTCAGAGTGTTGATTCTTTCTACTACTTGAAAAGAGAAAAAGAGAACATCATGAAACAAATGAACTTCTATGTCTCCATAACAATCTTTGTGAGCAAACAAAACAACTAATATTCTGCAAAAAAATATTTACATATGCATATAAAAATTAGAACAATTAATCTATAATTATGATTTTAGATGATTTTCAATTTCAACAGCACAACATCAATGAATAAAGCATTGAAACAACTCTGCGAAACAAGGAAAGGCTCTACAACCAATTGATGAACCAATATGGAAAAGTATCAAAGATTTTCTTCCTATTGTTTCATTACAACCATTTCTCCTTGGTAGTTTTGGACACAAAAAATGCAGAAATGATTCACTATAATTCTCTTCGACAAAGCACAACAGATGAAGATCTGGACTTTGATTGCTACTGGGAAAATGCAGTAATAGTGGTAAGCAAAAACGCACAACCAAAAACTCTGTCATATTTATAGAAAACAAGCATCTTATTATTACATTATAAATTTTTGCAAGGCCACTTTGTTCAATATTGGCTTGATAAAGCAAGAAAATCATCAAGCAATTCAAATGTTACGGATTCAACTCAAGCCACAATGAAGAAAATCAATTCCATCAAAAGTGACTTTGAATTCCAAGTCAAAGAAGATAGAACCTGTAGACAACAGAAACCAACATCGTACGTTATAAAATTAAAGCATTTTAGTTATATATATGTATAGTTTGTGCTTACTGCAGTTTCAGAAACAATATGAATAATTTGATACAATTATATAAATAGTTTGTACCACACACTTTATTTCATTTTAATACTATTAATCATTCCATGAATTTCTTTGTAAATTAGATTAGATTGCGGCTTATACATAATGAGCTTCATTGACCAACTATCAACTAACCGGAAGGTTCAAGGATGTATCAAAGATTATCAAGTAATGAAAGCAAGGAAAGATATCCTCGCGGATTTAATGAACCATGATTTCAGCTGGACAAAGGAACCAGAAGCATATATCGAAATCTCACAACAACTCACAAGCATTGGACATTAAAATAAAAAATACGCATTATATGTAATTTTGATGCGGATGTACTTTTGAAGGTTCAAGATGAAAATCTGAGAGATGGTGGAAAGTATTGGTCTAAACTAAAGCAATACTTACATGTTCAAGCTTACTTTTGCTATGATTTACAAATGTCATTGTCAAACATGTTTGACACAACTCTATATATATATATATATATATGTTTCATGACTTAATCTAAATTTTAATCTATTTTGATAAGTAGTTCATTTTACTTTGTTAAAAAAGTGTAATTTTCTAGTTCAGTTTGCTTTGGTAAAAAAGTGGTTTTCTAGTTCACTGTCATAAATAATTCATTTTGATATATAGTTTAGTTTGCTTTGGTAACAAAGTGTGGTTTTCTAGTTCACTTTGATAAGTAGTGTGGTTTTTTTTCATTTTCTCTTACCTAAAATGGAATATTAACTGGATCAAGAATGAAAACCAACATACTTGCCTCCTACAAAAGGCCTTGCATTCACTTTAAAACTTTAAATGCAACACACAAACTTACATACAACCTAGAAAACAGATACTGAAACCACAAAGCCATAAACTTATATATGTAATCACTGTTTATCAAACTTAACATACTGTTTCGTATAACTGGAAATACTAAAACATTGAGTTCATATTTATTACTTGAACATAATTCCAAATCAACAATTACATACTCCCAAACACTAATTGAAACAAAATTAAAAAAAATATCGAAAATGAAAATCTGTTACATATCACCAAAAACTCTTGATTGTTTTCTTACAAGTTCTTGTATAAAAACTTTACATGAAACCTTGTTATGTCCCGAACAACCACACCTACTACAAGTGACAATCTTCTTACTCCCACTGATTTCTCCAACAAATTTGATCCTAGTTTTCTTTGGTCTTCTAGACGGAATCTTTGTAATTGGAGGCCTCACACCATTTATGATAGTATCAACTTTCGGCTTTTCGAAATCTGAAAATGGATGCATGACAAATTGATATGTTTTCCAATAAAAGCTTGCTTTCCAGTAATCATCAATGTAATAAAAAAACATCACGATTATCATGTTGCAACACTTGCAAAGCATGAGAACATGGGAAACAATTATGTTGCCATTGCACACAAGAACATATCCTATCATCCAAAAAAACAACAAACCGATTCCACTCCGTCCTAACTTAAAAAACATCCGCATCAGAACGACTAATCCTCCAATGCATGCCCTCATTCAACATCAACTTCATCTCATTTTCTTTCTTTGGACACAAAATCGTATGAATATTCTAACCAAATATTCTTTTCTCAGCCATACTACCCATCAACCAAACTCTAATGTCTTCAAGAAGATCCATAAGTAGCATACAACGACTATTCGACACCATGGCATTAAAAGATTCTGAAAGTGCATTGCTCATCGATCCCCATCTCTTACCAGGAAAATGAGCAATAACATAGTTCTCTCTTGGCAAATCACACAAAAAATTCTTCACATGCCCTTGCCCATTATCCTTGAATTCCGCCATGCAATCATCAAAATCAGACGGAGTACATGCGTACGCACAATTTGCCAACAGATTCATGATTTTCTTCTTTAGTCCTTCACCAGCAGCCTTTGGAAATAAAGTACTCACATTCTGTTTTAAATGAACAATATAAAATGAATGTGGACACTCGAATTCTCTTCAAAATATCATCATGTCTATCTGACATAAATGTGATCACCCTCCTTTGAGGCCTCAATATACCAGATAATATTGCCAATAACCATCTCCAATTTGCTATCGTTTCTGAATCAACAATAGCATAAGCAACCTCAAAAATCTCTGCACAACATAAGTGAAAATGAATTGTCAAATGTCAACTACTTCTGAAACTGCAATTGAACTATTTAGTATATTATATTTGAGCTACTTCTGCAACCTTTTTTCTTTATTTGAACATAAAATCAAAGACCAATGCACAAAAAAAAAAAAAAAAAAAAACCAAATACAATCAAGTATCACCTATTTATCAGACTGATTGAACTATTTCTTAAACTGTTCTTCAACTAGTTATGGATATGTTTCTTTTGCACAGTAAGAAAACAGAAACAAATAATATCCAATATAAAAGTCTGAAATTATTAACTCACCATCGTTGCCATTTTTTGCACAGCAAGACAGAAGTGTTCCCTTGTATTTGCTCTTAATAAAAGTACCATCAATGAATAACATCGAGCGACAAAACATGAAACCTTTTATCCATGCATCATAAGCAATAAACAAACGAAGAAATCTATTGCTCTCCGGTACAACTTCAAGCTCAAAAACAGATCCAGGATTGCTTGAACGAACAGATTCAACATACCAAGGCAAGAACTTGTAAACATCAACATCATCACCATTTAACCCAAAAACTGCCATCTGTTTGCCAAAATATGCAGTAGAATAATCAATATCTAATCCATAAAACTGTTTTAAGTTTGAAATGATCTCCTTCGGTTTAATAAGAGGAGTTGACTGAACCTTATCCTTGATGAGAGAAGCAACAAACTGTCGTCCAACAACTTTGTTTTTCTTCTTTCGAATCATACCCTTGCATGTATGCAGATTATGCAACTTCCGAATAACAAAAAAGTCATTAATATCACACTTGGATGCATACACACGCCAAAGACAACCTTCAGATTCCTTCTAATAACAGTCCGCACTAATGCGATTCTTATCATTCTTCAAATACTTCAAATCAAAACCACATTCAACAGAAAACTTCTTCAACTTATCTCGGAAATCAACACAACCTCCCTTAAAGACTTGCCCCTCAGATTCTATGTAATTGTCCCATTCACATGACATATAAGCTTTCCGTAGGTAACTAAATTATGGAACTATCACATTTATCTATAACCAATATTTCTATAATCGATTTCTCAACAACATTAAGAACCATTAGCATGTTCAGAACATCGGCATCACAATCTAACACGTAATTAGGATTTTCATTCAAACCATATCTCATCTCAAAACAACCAACTCTCAAACCCTTAAACCTAGAACAAAAATCAATGCAAATCTGATTGAAGGTAGAAGTTGATAAAATAGAACTAACAACGCATAAACCACCATATGTAAACCGAGCTAGTTTACCATTCTCCATAACTATTTATTAATAATTAACAATTGTTTATTAATCTGTTGCAAATCTAAATTCCAATCTTTGTAAAACAAATCAGTACCTAATAGTTAAACAATATGCATATAAAGTGAACAAAAATAACACTATTTATAAAACACAACAATCACAAAAAAAAAAAAAAAAAAACAAAGAGTAAATTGAAATATCCACTGTTTCGTAAAAAAAGGAACACTATTTCTAAAAAATGTTAAAAACATAAAATATGATGAACACCTATTAGTTAAACAATATACATATAAAGTGAAAAAAAAATTACACTATTTATAAAACACATCAATCACAAAAACAAAAAAGTAAACTGAAATATTAACTGTTTCATAAACAAAAAGAACACTATTTCTGAAAAATGTTATAAACATCAAATGTGATTAACACCTATTAGTTAAATAATATAATATGAAGTGAACAAAAATTACACTAGTTATAAAACACAACAATCACAAAAACAAAAAATAAACTAAAATATCCACTGTTTCATAAAAAAGAACACTATTTCTGAAAAATGTTAACAACATCAAATGTGATGAATACGAATTAATCATAATAAATTTCTAAAAAAGGAAAACAAAATCAAAATGACCAATATACAATATAAACAAAACAAAACAAAACAAAAATCAAAACTTACCTGAGATTCTTCGAAATAAGATACTCCTAACTGAAAATTTCACAAACCGGAATCAATCTGCTAATTTGAAAACAAATCAACAACAATATATAAGTCAAATAAAAAGCTAAGCATATTACATGCAAAAACAAATTCAAAATTGAATTCAATTAAAAAACAAAAAAACAAATCAAAACTTACCTGAGATTCTTCGAAATAAGAAACTCTTATCTGAAAATTTCACAAACCGGAATCAATCTGCTAATCTGAAAACAAATAAACAACAATATATAAAGTCAAATAAAAAGTGAAGCATATTACATGCAAAAATGAATTCAAAATCGAATTCGAATTAAAAAAAAAATCGAATTCAAAATCAAATACAAAACTGCAAAAACAATGTTGATTACCTCCAAATGAAAATCTAACCAAATATGAAAGACGATCACTCCAGTTAAAATATTCAAGCACAACAAACAACACCGATAACAACGATTCGATAGAATCTCAAAATATGCAACCACTGCGAATCTGTTCTGAAACAAAGGTTTATTCTGGAAAAATCCCCCTAACAGGGACGAAGAACAATGGCGATCACGATTTCAAAATGCGCTCTCAACATTCGTCGGCAAGCATTACTCAAACCACTCAACCAGATTTATAAAAAAATTGAAAATCTCTTTGAAATTGGTCTGCAAAAATTAAAATTCAATTAGTTTATAGGTTCGGCTAACGCCAAACGCCAAACTGACTAATCTAACAGAATAGTTAAATTAGGTTAACCAGATCCGCTAGGGGTAAAATTGACAAACCACCATGTTATTTAGTTTGGGCTATTGTATTTGGGCTGATATAGAAATGGGCTTTGTACTAACCATTAAATAAACTTTCAATGTGGTTTTTGGTTAGAAGTTAAACTTTTCAAGCCCTTTTGATTAGTTTTCCTATTAATTTATCTGTCCGCTATTTTCAACTTTAACTATGTGGATGTTGTATGCTTCTAATAGATGTGGACATGGATGTTGTAATGAAAGAATAGCTGCATCGAAGCCTGCTAGTGAGGTAAGTAAAAAATCCAAAAGGGTGTTCAAGGTGGGCCAAAGAAGGCACCACGGCAAGGGAGGAAAGGTGAAGAGGCGTCATATTTAACTCTTTGATAGAATAACATAATGCCCAATTGTAGCCCAATACGATAACATTATCCTTAAGGTTGTCTTGTATTCGATTTTCCAATTATAGATATTTGAGAGTTATCTTTTGAAAATTGTACTCGAGTACATCATATATTAACTTTGGATTTAAGCAGCATTTATAATGATCTTCTGTTGAAATTACCCTTCTTCTCTAGGAATCCAAACTGTTAATGCCATTTTCTTCTGAAGCCATTCGACGGACCGGTATGCTGTAAGTGATTTGTGCAAACTTTGCCATGCCAAGGTGATATTCCCTGTTTGTTTTTGTTCTTCTTGTCTTCAAGGTGGTCAATTGGATCTAAAAGAAGAGCACGAATTTTAAAGCAAAACAAGACATAAAAAATCCCAATTCATATTCCCTGAGGAACAAACCAAGAGCAATCTAGTCTGAAAAATATAGAAAAGCATCGAAACGCGAGAGCTTACTGGAAAAAAATATTATGAATAGAATCTGGAATTGTCTGACGGATAAGCACGGTGGCGCTGCTTACCAGCTTCAATTTTTGTCAAGCTTCACGATCTCTCTAGTTATAACAGTAGACCCTACAATGAGTTTGAATTGTTGTATACAATCAATGTAGGGAGTAGCCCTTTCTAAACTCCATGGTTCACAGTATCCTTCCCAATTTGTCGTCATAGGAGGAATTGGATGACCTAATTTCAATAACACATGCATAAAAGTACAACTTAATTAAATTAGACTACAAGACATTTATAACTTAAAGTAAATGCATTCAATCCTTATAAGATCACATGCAAAAATTTCCAACAATAAATCCTTATATACATACCTGCACAAAATGATGATTGGTGAATCCAATGGCGATCTCCTTACATGCTGCTAGTGGTATAGGTTCTGTTCTCAGAGGTAAAAATGTAAGACAGTAGATAAGTACCACACCATAACATGATGCAATAATATGGCCCATGTCAGGCATAGTCATCCACTGATCAATGTTTGCATGAGTTTCAAAATATCTCAATGCATGCTTCAACTCATGGACCCTATTTTTAGACCCATATAGCTTGGAGTAGCAACTTGAGTAAGTCTCTAACTCTTGTAATAAATCTTTTCGCACTTGTACCCATCCATCCTCATTATAACCCAATAATGATGCAATTGCTCTAAAACCGCAATGTCCATCAGCTGCCACATCTTTTACAAGAATAATGTATGACCTCAATGCTACTAGAAATGCATTAATTAATTAACTCAATTGGCTTAACTGAAGGAGTGCGATGCACCTTCTCTTTTGGTCGCCTCTTTTGTTTTGAACTCATTTCAGGATAAAGATCACCAAGTGAATAACTTCCTTGCTTCGATTCCATAATCTCAAACAATGACAGATCATGATGAGTATATTTATCCGCCTTTTTACTTGGCCTACCTCTAGTCTTGGTTGTCACAGATGGTTCAACAAGTGAAGTAGCTTGTGGTAATGCTAACTCCATAAGTTTCCTTTTAAGGACCATTCTTGCAGTTGCATCATATTCTATCCAACGCCCATGAAACAATTCCATCTCTGCATCATAATCGTACTTTGCTGCATTTCTTATAGGTGTACAATTCATGTCAAGTTTCCTCCAATGGGGATCAATGCTCCCAAGTGGTATAGGTAGACCATCTCTTATGTATCTAACAATCTCATAAGCACATGGTAATCCATGAGTGTCTCATAAAACACAACCACATGCCTCAAAGTCAATACTGTTCATTTTGGACAACTCGTACTCTTTTAGGACCATATATAGTGCATTAATTGAGACAAAGCCATGAAGTTCCATGAAATCTGAATGTCTAAAATCATGATGCACCACTATCAAACTTTTCTCAAAAGAAGCCTTGATTTCAGTGTGCTGCAACCCAAGCAGAGCATGTATACTTTCCCATGATGTCTCAAATGTTCCTTGGCTACTTCCAAGATATTTTTTAATTTGGCATGTGAAGAATTGGCCTTGTTAAAGTAACAAGGGTAATAGAAAATGAAAATAAAGTAACAAGTGATAAATGCTTACCTATTTGAGGTTGTATTCCCAAAGTGTATAAATTTATCAATCCATGCTGCAACAAAACTTTCTTTATATGGATTCAACCAAGTATCTATAACATATTGAAGCATCTCTTGATACATACTAAACTCATTGCATAGTTGTCTTGTCTGGCACATTCTTATTGAACTTGGCTAGCACATTCTTATTGATGTGCCATCTACATAATAAATGCTTACTTGTACCAAATATAAGTTCAATGGCCCTCATCAAAGCCATTTCTCTATCTGTCACAATAACATCAGGCTTAACAATACAATCCATGAGTCCTCGCAATATACTCAAGGCCCAAACGTAATTATCTTCTCGTTCTGTTGAAAGATAAACAAAACCAACAGAAAATGTCATATCAGTTGACATAACTCCAACAATTTCTAACAATGGCATATGATACCTATTGGTCTTGTATGTACAATCCATAATCAAAATATGTGGAAATGCATGTAACAATTCTAAACAAGTCGGATGTGTCCAAAACAAGTCTAAAATAGTATTAGTCTTTGGGCAACTCCTATGCCACTCAGTGTACTTATGCTCAAATAGCTTACTCGTCAATTGTTGCATTTGGGACCTCCCACCTTTCTCCAAAAGCCTCAAACGTTGACATGCATTATAAATTGTCCTCAATGTAGATACGTTTCATTTGTCTCTTCATTTTAGTTTAGTTACAATCTCCTTTGGTTGCACCAAACTTTTAGACATATCAGTCAATAACAAAGTCTCTTTATACGATAATCTACCAGCAAATGAATAACCCTCATAATGGCTTGCTGATGTGTGATTATGCACTCCAATAACTACCAGCAATATCCAATCATCATCAGTTGCTAGCGTTTTACCTTTTAATTAAACGGGCATCCACATTTTTTTCATTCCAAAATTCCTTCTATCCTC